ACGAGTATTCGCGTATTAGTGAATATAACGAACCCGAACGAAATTGGAACTCGGCTCTCCGATTAACAATTCTGAGCCATTATCCATTACACCACCCGCACATCCAACCTTACAGCAACTGGTATTCCGAAGCTGTCACCCATATACTGATGAGGCTTGACATTGAAGTGTTGCGCGCGTGTTTCCGCCTGTGTGTGCGTATCTGTTTAAGTGCGTGAGTATGTCTGTTGCTTAACTTCAATGATCGTAAGAGAATAGGTGTTTTCAACGTTATATCTCCATAAGGGTATATATATAATATATATGTATGTATGTATCTGTGTGTGTGTGTCTTTGTGAGTGAATGTATGTGCAAATAATGAAACATATTTTTATGCGTCTTAGAAAGTACTTTTACACTTATTTGAAATGAAGCCTGCTTACTTAATACAAATTATATATTAATTTTCAATCATTTCACCCTATGCAAGGCAATAAAGCCACTAATATGTAACGAGAGTTATTGACTGCGAATGAATATGAGAAAAAAACACTATTAAAAAGAAAGGACAATAAAAGAACAGTTATTAAGTAAAACAGATGATAACGCTTGACATTACATTTAAATTTAATTTAACTCGGAAGCAAAAAACTGGAATAGAAGTGCGAGAGAAGAAACTGTTAGCATAGAACTTACGGTTGCATCTAACCATTTCTACTGTAAAAATGAAGAGAACTTGCTGAAAATCTAATACTGTGCTCAAAACTTATTACCGAAAGTAAAATAACATTCATTTATTATGAGTCAGCAAATCTTAGTAATTTTATTTATCGTTAGGAAATTTTAGGTTTTGTAAGAGATATTTAAGCATTTGTTAGGACATCGGGATTTGATATCTAATGTGTGCCATGAATTTATGTGTTATATTTATGCATTTATGTTTATCAACCAGATGAAAACTATATATATATATATATGTTGCAGACCCGGCAGCGTGCAGTGCTGGTTTATTACTAAGTGGCCTTGTGCCAGACACCACACTAAACTACCGAGTCTACAAGCAAAGTAAAAATAAGTAAAATGCGTGAATGAACAATGAGGAAAGGGGTCAATCAACAAGTGCATAATTTAAATGGTATTAAGATAGCCGAAATAAAAATGACAAAGACATCTGTTTATAAAACATGAGTAAACAAAACTTTAATTAAACAGTAACGAGTAACTCATCCCAAGGTCGGGATCAATGAAAAGTGTTCCGCGCCAAAATAGAAATACAAGATGGCCAATGGCGGGAAAAGAAAGTTTTATAGTTCCGGAAAAAGAATGTGCGCACAGATAGAAAGGAGTACTCACTGTGGATATTTTAAGTTGTAAGTGATTATGCATATTTTTAATGTACAGGTTCAAAGTTATAAAGAATGTTCGGTAAATATTGAATTGACCGCTGGTAAATGTTCTGGACTGCTGTGTGGGGCATCTAGCCGATAGAAACTAAGCATGGTCTTGTAGAATGATTTACGGCGAGCCCAAAGAGAAAGACGAAAAATGTTTTTGTTCAAAGGTAATACTATCCCTGCCTGTATTATTTGGTTCGAAGCCAGGGGTAAGTTTAAGTCACCTGTTGAACACGAAGTTTCTGCCGACGACAGTGTCGTGTGTCTCTAAAAACGTCTTCTGGTAGAAAACGGAGTAAAAAGGTCCTGACCTGTGATTAGCAATTTGTTCGTTCAGTAGGACATCCCTGCCTATACTTATTAGGCCCCTGTCGAGGGATAAAAATACGCCATTAGTTGCATACGAACTTTTGCTCGCGACAGTGTCGCGTATCTCTAAAACGTCTTCTGGTAGAAAACGGAGAAAAAGGTCCGACCTGTTGGCAGCTTCAAAAGGAGAAAAAGTCTTGGTAGAGGGTGCAGTCGACATTGTTGAAATAAGATATTCCGGCCCGCATATGGGTTAAGGGCACGGAATAAATGAGTTGCCCATCCAGTCCGGTTGAAAGTCGAGAGGCAACTGGATTGCAAACGTTGGCCGTTTGAAACGCCGCGAAACGCGCGGGAAAATTCAAAATCTGTTATGAGTCCAAATCAGTAGGAGCTCAAAGTAGGTTACTGCTATGTTTATCTGTGAGTGAAAGGTAGGGGTGAAAACACGCGCGCACACACGCACGAGTGTAAAACAAAGGGAGGAAACTCGCGCGCGCGTAAAATTATAAATGGAATTAATGTCAATTCCATATATATATATATATATATATATATCGATGAAAAGGCAATTTTTATTACGTATTAATATTATAGAATGTGTATAACCAAATTTCTTAACCCGAGTTAAATCACGTTTGACAGAAATAAACTTGTAGAGTAAAACATTTTCTCTGCTATTTCCGATAGAGAAAAAATGTCGAGTTAAAAAGGCTTATAAGAGCAGTTGTTTAGTAAGGTAAAAGAAGACAAATATTTATTTTTTTTTAAAATTTAGGAGTTGAGGATGTTAGTTACAAGTAGAAAAATAGCAAACCTTTTTTTTTTGTTTGTTTCTGATTCAAAGCGTCGACTGTCTGAAGTTTTATCTTCGAAGGGTGTTTCCGTAATGTCACACGAGCTGAAAAGCGACAATGTATAATCTTAGCACAAAGTGAAACTAAATGCATGTTGCTAAATTTTTCCTTGAAATGTTACGGATGGCTTAGCAAAGTCAAAGAAACGGATTTGTTTATTAATAACCAGGAAGAAATTTCCAGTTAAAATGTATACATATATGTGGGGCACCTCAATATGATGCAAAGATGAACCACCTTGTCTCGATAGAACAATTGCGATTATGTCAAATACAGTGGCGTAATGGTAGTGAGTTCGATCCTCATTATGCGCCCCGTATTTTCGATCTTGTGACGCAATAAAGCTACTCTTAAATTTTTTCTTATATATATATATATATATATATATATATATATATATATATATATATATATATATTCAATAACGCTCTATAGGTGCCTTCCCAAATTAGAAACAAACAAAAAACTTTGAATCAAGACACAAGAAAAAAAAAAACGAAAAAAACGTATTAAATAAAAATATAAGGTATTTTGATTTTGTGCTATTTGTAAGTATTTTTTTCTTAGAGTGCATAAGTGTTAAAATTCTTACTATCCTTTTTTCTAGTTGTTTGTTAAGATGAAAATTAATGTTATTCTTTGCTTGCATTGTGTGAGGAAGAAGTTGCAATGCGAAGGAAAGTGTAAGTGTCATGTAGCTTGATGAGAAGGCGAAAAAATGAGTAAAGAATTCCTTTATTGCTGTACATCGCGAAACTACAGTTACTTACTGACTTTTCAAGAAACTTTGCTTGAATACCCTTCAAAGGAATCACGAAGCATGATTTCATCGTTGAGGTTAAAGGGATTGAAAAATGTCAAATATTTATATGCAAAGCATTCATTTATTAGACGAAAGCATGCGCAAATCCTTCGACACTGAAGCCATTTTGCTGTTGTTTTTGTTATTTTTTATTTGACAGTCTTTTTTTTTTCTGTTTTCTCTCCACAAAACAAATAAGTGAAATTGTCTAAGACCAATATCTACTTTCATTTTTGACTGGAGTGATGAGCAAATCCTCCGACTCTGAATTTTTTTTTTTCATTTGGTATTTGACTGTCTTGCTATTTATTTCCGTTTTCTCTCCACAAAACAAATAAGAGAATTTGTCTACGACCAATATCTACTTCAATTTTCCTGATTTTAAAATTATACCAACATCTAAAAATACCAATTTTTGAAAAAAAAAAATTAAAAAACCGCAAATGAAACGTTAATCTCGATTAAATTACGTATCATTTAAATAGATATAAATAAAATGTTATCAATGTTACCTTCTATAATTTCAAAACTTCCCTTAAAGCTGAATACAAAAAAATGTTACCTTGAAAATTGTAATTGGAAACTTATTTTGAAAATTAGCTACCCGCTCAGATTGGTTAAAATGAAGATATTAAGAAGAAAAATGTTCTATACTTAATAAAACAAGGTTTTATCGTCAAAATGTTTATGTCATTATTAAGAGGAAATATCAAAGTATTTTTGTTTATTATATTATATTTTTTGTTCCTTTTTAGAACGCTCGAAATTTTGGTTAATATCTTTTTTTTTTTCGCCTGACAATGGATGTGTGGGGACAAAGATTTTTAGCATTCCGCTATCATCTTTATTTTCAACATCAATTTTTGTACAAAAAGTGGATCACAGAGCTTATTCAGCTTTAGGTATATTTTCAGAAAATCCATTAATTTTGCTGTAACACACTGATTTGGAAATTCTTTCAAATATCAAATAATTGTCGGATTTTAATGAATCTTTCACGGCTTATTTCCAAATGAATTAAATTATTTTAGAATTTTTTCTCTTTTAGAAAATATGAGTTAAAACATTATTTACATCTGTGACACAATACTTTTCGAAATTTATTCCGTAATAAGTAAATTCATTTTACAAAAATTTTTAAATATTTTTTAGAGGAATAGAAATTTTAAATTTTAAATTTTATGATGGGCGATAGCGAAATTCTAAAATTGAGAATGATCTTATTCCATTTCAAAAATAAAACCTATAAAAAAGAATATTTTAAATTAATATACGACCAAAAATAAAATGCTTCTGACAAAAAAAACTTTAATGATTTCACTATAATTATATAACAATAATATAATGATATTCTGCAGACAAATCTATGGTTTATGTTACCTCATCTCATTGCATGGTTACAAACTATAAACCTAAATTGAGCTTGAAATATTGTGTAATCGGCTCTAATGTTTTGTAAAATACTTGAATATGATCTAATGAATAACTGATAGTGATAAAATCAATTTTCGATTTTTTATTGAAAACGCCCCTCTTCTACCAAACGCGTCATATAGTCGAGCCTATTTGATTTAGTTTTATTTACTTTTACTTAATCTTCCTATCACTTTTGTTATTGAATAATTCACATTGTTGTAATAGACGATATACCAAGACATGTCGACAGTAACAGGATGTAAATTTATACTGTGCATGATCTCGTGATTAAAACACTTTCTATATATATCTTCGTCTTAATGAAGTACTTTCTCTTTTAATTAAAGTAGTATTTATTCATTCAAAATTATGGTCGAACACATTACATTGAGCAACTAATGGACTGAATGTGTTGTTTTGTAAAAGACTCCTTTTGTGTTCATATATTTTTTATATTATATTTTTTTTAGTTTCATTTCCTTTTTCTTAATCTTCCTATCACTTTTGTTATTGAATAACCCATGTTGCCGGGCCGATAAGGATGTCGCCCCCGCAAGCTTTATGAAGAAATATGTAAATTAACAAAGTGAGGAAATGAGGTGGGAGAGAAGACATGAGTGAGTTAGATGTACCATTTCAATTACCATTTCAATTCTTTATCCTTGGTGTGGGCCAGACGACGCTTAACTTAACGTATGTTATCTCTACATATAGATGGGTAAGGGGTGAAGAAGAAACCCAAATAAAAGCAAAAAGATACAATAAAATAAATCATGAGAGAATGTTTCACTTAATTTCTTAGACGCTTTTATTTCGCATTAATTTAAAGGGTATATTTGGAGGTTAAATCTAAATGTCTAAACAATCTACGAAGAATTTAATTTGATGTTTGTTGGAATTTGGGGTATTTTCTATGAAATAGTCAATTGGAAAAAATTCATAGAAAGTGCATTGAAAGAATAAATTCCTTTTACATGTAGTAATCTTTTTTATTTGCTTAAACTTTTTTTTGTTGATTATTAAGTTGACATCTATCCGTTTGCCTTTTGTTCATAAATTAAACCCGTTACTGTTTTTAGATATTCCAATTTTAATAATTTTATCACAATAATGATTATTAAAGGGTAATATATTTCAATTTAAATTAAATAATCATTTTAAAATTTACCTCCGTATTATTTAAACTTATTTCCATTTGGAGAATATTAGATGAGAAATTTGGATATAGCATTACTAATAGAAAATTAGGTCCTTCTTTTATATTATTCCATATATCCATACACAAACACATCTCTACACACATGAATTAAATTATTTTAGAAGTGTTTTCTTTTAGAAAATATATAAAAATATATATATATATATAAATATATATATATATAATATATATATATATATATATATATATATATATAATATATAAAATATATATATATATATGTGTGTGTGTGTGTGAAAAGTGTATATAGATATAAATAAATATATATATGTATAATTATTTATGCGCGGTACTTATTTCCGCCACACTTCCAATGTTTAAATTTCAACATTTCAACATACAAATGCGTATGTATAGACATAACACCACCCGTATACATACATGTGTCATAGCCGAAACTGCCCACATATGTTTATATATGTATGAGTCCCGACGGACGACCAAGTATGTATATGTGTCTGCATACATCGATGTCTGCGTTAGTACGATGAATGACAAAACGACGAAATTTCCCCCACCACATCCACAATAACACCAATACACGCAATCTACATAAACCCAAATTTTTTAAAATATTAATCAGTTTGTCTGACGATCGCTAAAGCGTGAAACCTAGGGTCACAAACTCACATCTATCCAACCAAATATATATATATAGCTGGCAATTTCTAGAAATGCTAAAAAAAGAAAGACTAAAACTAAAACAGTACTAAAAGGTGGTTCCATTGAGACCCAAATTTTTTCTGTAAAATTTATTATCTAAAGTAAAATAACATTGGTTTATTATGAGTCATCAAATGTTTGTAATTTTATTTATCGTTAGGGCAAGTTTAGTTTTTGATTGCATTTAGATGTTTCAAAGAGATTTCAACATTTCTTAGTGTATTTTCAGGTTAACAGATATTAATGATTTAATTATTCGAATATGTACAACTAAATTTCATAATGCACTTTTTCAATGCTGTTTCCTATGTGATCAAAGTGATCATTAGAATTTTTAACGCACTGTTCATTGTTGTTAATGGGAACATATCTTCGGCAGTTCATAGATTACATTGATTTCTTCACTGGAAATATTAGAATATTCTTTGGTAAATTCCAACGCTAAAGTAAAAGTTCCTTAGAAATAGGGTGTAAAAATCCACGATATCAAATTGGAAATCTGATAAATTTGTATCTGTCCCAAATGAAATAGTCTAGGATTTTATACACAACAACTTCAATAATATTATATATATATTATTTTTTTGTCAATTTGAATTTAGCCTAGCTCACATTTAATTAGTTAATCATGGTAAAATTCACAAGCCTTATTTTAATTCTAATTTCTTTTTTTCGAACAATAGGAAATAGTAAAATTTTGAAATATTACTTTTTTGAGATTTTGAACGATTAATTTAAATCGAAGGACATTTGTCAGTAATTTACCATTATTTGAGGAGTCACATTTCTTCTGTTGAAACACGATTGCTATTGTGTAGCGATTTTTAACGTGTTTTTGTTTTAATCTCCTATAATATATATATATATATATATATATATATATATATATATATATATATCAAATTACATCACAGAGAAAAATTAAAGCACATATTTTTTAAAAATAAAAGGCAAGCAGTATATGAAAGCGACGAATCTATTAAAAAATCTAAAATTTTATTCACTATTTATTTATTTTCAGTAGCAGTAAATAGGTTCGTCTATTGTCCGGTTCACTCTCCTGTCCGGTCTTTTGAACAGGAGTAGGCATTTATCCCTTGTTTCCGGTTTATGAAAAAAATTCCGGTTACTTCTAAATCTTTTTCATTCCATTTTTTCACTGTCAGTAGATACTTGCGTTTTAGTGGCATTATCGCCTTGCTTGGGGTGAATCGATTTAAAAAAATTAAAGGGGTCGTAGTTGTAACTTCCTCAAAAGGAACACCGTACAGCGTTAGTGATATGTAACGACATTAAGAACGGATACGTATTCTGTGTTCTCCACTTCTCAACACACACACTGAGGTCGACTGGCTACTAAATCTGTCTCTTTCGGGAGCTAAACGGCGACTAACATTACCAACGTCACGTGACACTCAATTCTTCCTGTGGTAGTGGAGGTAATCGCCTTCTCTATTCTTGCATATATATTTCATGTTTGCACAGATTACATTTATAATAAGTTTCCCTAAACTAAACCTGTTTCGATTTAAAACGAAACTTCTTCACCTTATTATCAAAATTGTACAAAGAAATGTCTTAGGAAGGTATATTAAAAAAGTAAATAAATTCAATTGACAAAGATTTTTTTATAACGAATTTTTATTTATCACTTTTTTTAACATAAACAACTATTTCGTTTCTCGAGACAAAACACTTGCTGCTTTGTCAGATTCTTCTTCTTCTTCTTCTTCTTCTTCTTCTTCTTCTTCTTCTTCTTCTTCTTCTTCTTCTTCTTCTTCTACCCCTTTACCCGCCATACTGATTAAAAAACAAAAAGTCAAATCAACAGTAATATTGCAAAAAGTTCACAAACCAAGAACTGGCATTGACACACAAAAGCAGGTTCAGACAAGAGAACATAGCGTTCTGACTTCAAGAGAAGACAGATCGGGACTGAGTCAGATGAAACTGTAAATTAACCTATTGGTTAAGAAAAACACTCCGACTTCCATTTCTATGCTTCTGCCTATAAAAGGGAATGGGAAAATGTTTGTAGGATTGAAATCAACAGACTTCAAATAAAATTTTAGAATCTGTATCAACTTCCACTCTCGCAAAGTCAGTTTTGAAATGATCATTTTCATAAACTGAAATATTTTCTAGCAAGTTTTTACGTACACAAATAAACGGTAAAGATTAGAATAAGAAAGAGTCTTGGAATTTTTTTCCAGAAATTATCAATCATCTGGGACGACTATTTCAGATCAAAAATTCCCGATATCGATTTTACATTTACAAACCTAATTTTCTTCCTATATAAACGGTCACCACCATTATTTAAGTTCCCTCCTTAATTTTGAACTTTTCTTTAAGAGATACGAGAATCTCCTGCTTCCTTGTACATCTAGTACAAAAGGAAATAGGCAATGTATAACCTTCGTCACCCAAAAATCACTGTAGCTAAATTGTATAGCACGTCAGATCTAATGACGTTTTCCATATAGAAATACAGGTTCGATTCCTGTCAGAGAACCCATATTTTTTACGAAATTTCTCGAACATTCTAGCTGGTAAATGTAATTAATACTGTTTAATTAAAAACAGAGCATTTACTTAAATAAATTGTGTCTATAAAAATAACGTATAAACAGAAAATCTATTTAAATAATTGTCGGACAATCTATTTCAGTATATATATATATATATATATATATATATATATACACAAGTATATGATTGGTGTATACGGAATAAATTTTAATAACCAACAATTACTAATCTTAAAAGAGTGCTCAATACAGAGTAGAGCGAATAGAATTATTTATTTAGAAATTATAACAAAAATATGTTATAAGATCACTAGAAAAATAGCCATTTTGTTTCAACACTTCAGGTGTCTTATTAAGTGATGATGTTGAATGTAGATTGCAGCTATTTTTGTAGTGATTTTATAACATATATATGTTATAATTTTTAAATAAATAATTTTATATATGTGTGTGTGTGTCTATATGTGTGTGTATGTTTACGTATGTATGTATACATATATATCTGTATATGGGTGTATATGCATGTATGTATGTATATATGTATGTATAGCTAGACAGATAGATAAAGTGATACATTGTTTATTTGTTTAGATGAGTGTATGTAATTGGAAGGAGATGTAAGGTTTTATGTATATATGTTTATGTGCACGTATGTGTATGTCCCTATGTATATATGTGCCTAAATGTATATATATGTAGAAGTGGATGTGTGTGGATGTATGTGTATATGTATGTATATGTATATATGTATGCATATATATATATATATATGGGTATATATATATGTATGGGTATGTGTGTACACGCCAATATGTATGTACGTACGTGTAAATATAAATATGTTGTTGTGTATGTGTGTATACGCATGTGTTTTTGAACATAGAAATATAGGTCTTTGCTAGATTAGATAATCGTTATGTTTGTTTTTTTTTTATATGTTTATATTTGATTTGTAACCTGTAGTCGATATTACTTTAGTCAAATTTTCTTGATTACACAGCGGCCCTTTTATAAATGTCCTTCCGTTTTAGTTCCCCCCCACACCCCATCTCTCTCCCCCACCCTTTTTTCTTTTTTTCCTCTCCCTCCCTCTTCTTCTGATCTTTAAGGTTAAATCGTCTATTGTGTGTGTATGTCACCACAAAATGTATCCTTAATGTATTAGACATCCGACAACATTCATTTTTCTCTCACTTAAACCGTCTTTGACTCCCCTCTTTAAAACTTCTCTCTGTTAAATTTTAATCTCCCCCCTTCGTCCGTTACCCCTCCCTATAGCTTTCATTTACTCTAACATTCATCCCACACTCTCATACATACACTCTCGCTAAATTTATTTTTTTATTCCCGGAGTTGTTCTTTTCTGTTTTCTTTTTGAATTTGTAGGTCTGATGAATTGGATCGTATTTACGATTCCAATAGGATAAATTATGACCATGGAATATTAGTGTTTAAGCCTTTTTATTATATCCTTACTCTGTCCTGGACATTGAGTTCTACCTGGATTCTATCCTCTTGGATTTATTTTTTATACAAATATATATGTATGTATATATATTTATATATTTTAGATATATGATTGCATATGCATGTGTATATTTACCACTAATATTATCAGTCTCTCTCTCTCTCTCTCTCTTATATATATATATATATATATATATATATATATATATATATATATATAAATGATTTTAAAATATCAATGAATTATAAAACAAAATTTGAATACCCATAAGTTTTTCTGGGGCATTGTGGAGGGTAGTATTTGATTTTATGCTGCTAACAGAATTTGAATGTCGGTGGATCACAATAAACAAAACGAAGACTTAATTAGAAAATGAATGAGCAATATTCATTGACACACGTACGAACAAGATGGGGAGTTTTAGAGAATGGTCTGTAGATGACCGGTGGGGGGGTGAAGATGAAAAGAAAACACGTGCGTTTATATTTACTGCTAGAAGGTCCAGCTACATGAAAATGTCCAACTGAAGATAAAGAAGACAAACAAGGCCAATATATATATATAAAAACAAATATATGTATTAACAACAAATTACAAAGCACATAGACAGTTAACATTGTGTTTGTGTGTGAATATTTGTGTTTGTTCTTTGGTGAATGTTCGTAATGTTCATAGCGTCTTCCCAGAAATGGGAAACGCTGTCTTTTGTGAGAGCTCACATAGTGGCGGTGTTCGCTGAAATGAAGAAAGAAGAGAAAGAATTACCTCATCTCCACGCGAGGTGGGATGCGGCACGAGGCCTGAGGGAAAAAAATAAGGTCGAAGCAAGAAGTCGCCCAGTATTTATAGTACGGTGAGAGAGACTCCTGATGAAGAATTAGGGAACTAAGGAGAAGGTAACTCCGACAGGTCAACTTCGAATCATCCTGGCGTTGTGTGAGGTGACTGAATATCCCTTCTTCTTGAGGCGATTAACAAACACGTTCGAAATCAATGGTTGGGAAACAAGGAGACAACAATCATCTCCTTTTCCAGAAGTGGTGGTGGGTGGGGGGTCATAAAATTCACACGTGACAGGAAACCATTTTTGGTTTTCTTTTTGCTTCATGGGAAAATTAAATTCTTTACCTTTCTATTATTATTTTATTTATTAGTTCACCTTCATTCTCCCAAAAATGTAAAATACTTGCTTCTCATTTTATTTCATATCTCAGATTACTTTTTTAATTGCGATCTTAAAATCCAAAGCCTGAAACTCCACGAGATTACCCCGCCCTTATGGGCACCTTTGCGTGGTAATGGTTAACAAGCTTGTCTCGGTAAATCAGTTATGACTGAAAAGTGAGTTCCATCCTCACTCGGTGCTCCAAACTTTCGGATTTGTGCTACATCTAAGCTACGCTTAGAAAATAACCCTTTTTAGACAGATTATAATCGTAATCTGCAGCTTGTCGACCTCTCTGTCTTCGGGCAGAGAGGAACCCAGACGGGACTGTGCCAAAGGGCAGAGTTTCGTTTGGGGAAGTAGACAGCAACCTGACCCCAAATATACGGAGTCTACAGGCAATTGTTGCCTGAGCCTATGAGCTCGAAATCGCCCCACGTAAAAACAAACTGGCCTTGTGTCACACCTCGCCTTTGTAGGGAGTTCTGGGTAAATATCTAGATTAACCCCCTTCCTACTCATTTTTGAAAAAAACATTTTAAAATGTTTTAAATCCTTGCTTATTAAATATAGATAGATAGATAGATAGATAGATAGATAGATAGATATAATCTGCTGGCATATTATCTATAGCCAGTCAAGTGTTGTCGGATGAAGAAGTCTTAAATGAAGAATGGACAATAAGCACCTTGACTAAAGCAATTGGCAAAACTGGTAAATTGTGTTCTTTGGGAATAGTTGGCAAAACATCAATGAATTATCAATCGATTCAAATGCCCAAAATGTAAGCATCAGTGTGGACTATGCAGAAAACATTTTAAACTTGACAAATGTCTATGGAATTGTAATCCCCGTTTAGAAAAACAGTAGGGCAGGTCGATTTTGGAACCGTGGGTATCGCATTTAATTTGAAAGTTCCGGCTTGACATGATAAATAAGGAGACAAAATATTTTTTTTCCAATCCTTCCCATTTTTTAAGGAATTGTTTTTAAATGCTTTAGGTTCAAAATCGTAGCGTTAGAATTTCATTCCGGTGATCAGTGAAAGCCTTATAGCAAAATCTTATAAAATTTATAATTTACTGTAGCATTATAAACTGTATATGGAGAATATGCCTGACACAAGGACATTACTACCAAATCATTGTGCGATCAAATAAGTCATTTATTTACTTCAAAGGGGAGTTATACTGAACAATTTCACTATATTATAATGGAATACAGTGCAGTACTTTTTGTGTGATTTTCAAAAAACAATGCAAATTTAAAACATTTTGTCTCATAATTTGGGCCCAGCATTATTATTGTGTTATATACACTATTATCTTTTTTTTGTTGTTTTTATAAATTATGATCTAACAAATCTTATTCCTTGAGTAGTCATTTTGGTAATCTTTTATAATTTTCTTACACTGTTTTTACTTATTGAATACTGCAAAAAAAATTACATGTTTTGCATGTAGTGATTCATAATCAGAATTTTGATTTGAATATATTTTCGGATAAAATTTCGGACTCATTCGCGTCATGGCAGCCATTACTGGCGTTGTTTGCATATATTTGTCTTAATTATGGCGCACAGAACGAGTCTTCGGTTGCGCAGTAATTGAGACAAGTAAGAAACGTAAAAAGGGCGTTAACATGGTAATCTTCCGCGCAAATCTAATCAGCAGCGAATGTATACAAACAACGACAGTAATGGCTGCCGTGTGGTAACACGAATGAATCCGAACTTTTATTGTTGATAACTTTAAAACAGTAGATGCTATCAAAATTTATTTTTTAAGTTAAGCATGTACATTTACACCTAAATATAATTACTCGGGAAAATTGTATTAAATAATTAGTGCGGGTCTTAAAAAGCAAATTAACCATATTTTCCAATCATTGTATCTAATACAAAATATATTAACTTTATTTAGATTTAGTCCTGTAGATAATAAAATTTTGATGTCAGTTTTTGTAAGCAAAGATCTGTGTAAAATTTCTGTTAATCTTTTAGAACGATATTTAAAACTAAATACTCAAAAATTAGTAAAAATTATGAATCTAAGTTTTGATGTCAGCACTTAACACATCAAACATCAGCTTTCATGTTGACTGGAATACTGGTTATGTTAAAAAGGGGAAAAATCAAACTGCCCTACACTACAATAACACCAGTTCTTCTTTCCTTTTTTTTTTTTTTTGGTGATGGGGGGGGTCAAAATATTTCTCGGTTGTGGAACTCTCTTCTGCCTTCTTGCTTTCCAGTCAACTTTCATATATATATATATATATATGTGTGTGTGTGTGTGTGTGTGCGCGCGCGCGCGTGCGTGCGTGCGTGTGCGTGTGTGTGTATGTGAGTGTGTGGACATTGAAGTCAACGCCCAACAACATCCTGCTTCATGCAATTTTCAGGCCATCCTGAATATAGGGTGTATTTGGGTATCAATTTTTACATTTCTACAAGTTTGGTTAAGAACAAAAGTTGTGGGTCTAGGATTTCTTTTTATATCATAGGCAATTTTCCTGGCTTCCAGTACGGAACTAAATCTAAACTGTCCAGTATAACACAAACTGACACGTGAAGATGCGATATTTAAAAAAGTTGAAACAGACACAGTATAAAAAAAACTTTTGATGATTATATTGTAGGCAATTTTCTTGGCTTCCAGTACATATCTAAATCTAAATTGTCCAATATAACAAAAACTGTCACGTGAAGACAGGATATTCGTAAAAATTGAAACCGACATGGTTTAAAAAAGAAAAAAAAATTTTGATGATGGCTTCTGAAATCGGAAAATACTCGGCCATTTTATAAGTTTAAGATGTACCGAAAACCAGGAAATCGTTAGAAATATAAATACACTATATAAAAATATTAATTTTTGATATATAATTTTCAACATTTGACCGACTGGCTTCGTCGGCCATATTGAAAAAGCGTGCGGGTCTCTGTAGATTATGTTCAAAAATGGAGAAAGGAGTTGGGAGAAGGCAACAAAAAAAAATTAAACAAATAAAAGAAAACCTGGATACTCCAGGAAAAATTACAAAAGCAAAAAAAAAACAATTTTAAAAATAAATAAACTGGGAAAACTAAAAGCCCAGAAAAAAATAAATCAAACAAAAGAAAAGAAAAAAATAAAACTTAAGCAATAACTTAAGTTTCATTATTACAACGTAACTTTTAAAAACGAATAAAAGTAATTTATAAAAGAGTCAATGTTTATGCAGTTTCGAAAAGCAAAGATGAATTTATTTGAAAGTTTATTTGTAAGCATTTTAGTTTATTTGTAAGCACAGAAAAAAGAAAGGAAGAATTCATTATGATATGATTTCTCACTTTTCTTAAGCATATTTGCATTATTTATTTGTAAGGATTTGTAACTTTTAAAAACGAATAAAATAATTTATTAAGGATCATTTCTCAATACATAACTTTTTAAAACATATTAATTAAAACCTAAGTAATTTTTAATGATCACATTCTACATTGGTTGTTGATGAATTTGAGTCGGCCACGGGTTCAGTAGACTGGTGTTGACTTATGAAAATGATTGGCCCAGTGATGAGTTGGTTGGTGATGAAATGTCTCATCTCCTTATAAGGGCATTGAAAACCAACAAAATATTTATTTCAGTTTTGAGTATTTTGAGAGATTTGCATTTTCATAAAGCATTATCGAATCATTTTTGTAGATGAATAAGTGTGTGTCTAGATATACAAATTGTTTCTTCATTGTCTTTCTTCACGTGAAAATGCTTGTTATATATTTGCAAGATTGTGATGGTGAAAATTACAACAGGAATAGTGCATTTCCTAGCAGGGGTTAACTGGCTTGTTGTGGATGATTCCACGATATCATGTCTGTGTATGACAGTGGACATCATGTGTTTATTATTTCCGTTTATTTCAACCAAGAAAATCCGAAGTAAGCAAGACCAGTAATGACAGCCGTTGTGCCTGCTGCGCGAACAAGCTTTTCAAAATCAGTGTCTTCTATTTGATCAATCATTTTAATTTCTTTTAAAAAATTGTTCACAAAATCTTGACAGTTATTACAGGCATAATTATATTTGTGCATATTTATTAATACCTTCACGGCAGTGACAATCAATTTGTAACCAGTTGTCTTTATATTTCCACATTTCTTTAATTTATTGATATTGATATTTTCTATGTTATAATGAATCCTTCCTTTTCTTTTAAATAATCTTAGATTTATTACATTTTATCACATCCACGAGAGATGCAGTATAGGGCATTTCATCACTACCGACTCAATACCGCCGACTCAACACCGGCCAATTCATCTCCGTAACTACTCAACTACTGGATAAATCACCAGCAACCTACTCAGCGCGTGGGCAATTCAACGCTGGTGTCTTAATTCATAGCTTAAGACTGCAGTTGGCTCTCCTAGTGTTCATGTCTCTTAGATCTGCTTTCAGTCGGAGAAATTTTGAAAGTTTGGCTGTTTGCCTTACTGATTTATTAGTTACAACTGCCTATTTGGCTGACTAGTGTTTCAAGATCAGACAAATAACCATGCTTAAGCAAATAGAAGACTACACACAGAGCTGAGGATAAAGCACCCCACAATATTGAGATTCATTACGGGCCTGTAAAAGGTGCAAAGAAAGCGAGATGCATTTTACGTGTTGAGTTTGAGGACCTCACTAACAAATTCGGGAGTTCTTTTCTTATTCTAATTCTAAACACAATTTTAATCCATAATATATTTTATTCGTAAAAGCAATTAAAGGGTTTTCTAATTAAATAATCTTAGATTTATTACATTTTATTATTTTACTGCTCAAAGCAGATTTTCTGTAACTGGGGATCCTGTTTGATAAAAAAAAATGATGATTTCAATTCTTCAAGGTCTTCACCTTATGTCTAATACGAGCAGAAAGCGACACAAATAAGAATTTCTTGAAATTTATAAAATTACATAAGAAAGTGCGTGACTGACGTGAAAGAAATTTTAGCAAGATTTTCTAAAAAGAATAAATGTTTCCAAAACATTTCATTCGTTTGTGAATAAGTCCTAAAAGTTTCATTATAATCCAATGAACATCTGATGGTTGCAAGAATTTCTAAAAAAATGAGTTTTCGGCGCACAAGGTCACTCAAATTTCCAATACAAATTTATGGCCAGCGTCGAAACTAGAAAAACGAGATTTTTGGTCAAAATTTCAAAGGTTATGAAAAGGATTAAAAATAAGTTTTACATCAAACAACCATTTGATCTTCTCACGTAATCATAAAAACAAAAATTTTGTTTTCATTAAGTTTTGAGATTCTTTTCCTTGTGCATGATCAATTTTTAGCGAATCTTTGGAGGTACCTACAATTTATGTATGATTATTGCAATTTGTCAGAAATACACTTTAGAAAATAAATATCACGCTGAAATCTAAACTTTCAATTCAATGCCTTACTTGCGTTTGATGATGCATTTGATGATCCACTACCCAGCCCGGACATCTGAAAAATAAAAACAAAGACATTACTGGGAACTCTTGCTTTGAGATGGCAATTAGACTCAGAGAACACTGAGTTTAATCCTGTCTGATGAAGGATGGATTCCGTCAGACTGCAATATCCTGGACATACCACTACTTCTACGGCTGCAGTACGTATGTCGCCTCTACGAAAATTTTGCTTAAAGTCCGTTTTCTTCATAATTTCAAGTGATATAT